CCACTTAATTACTGTAGGCACTTTGAGTATATGTCAAGTTACACATTTTGTTTTCTGAGGATAATAAATGTACTGATACAAGCTGGTTCTTCACTCAAAAGAAGGAGCAATACAATATCCAGGGAAGAAATGAATAGTGACTCAAATTGGCACAAACAGTATTTGTGGAAAGAAGAATGCATCAATGTGCTGCCCACTCACCGAACAGCTGTCCACCATTGATGGAGAGAAACATTCACCGGCTGGTGCCAGTCATCTAAAAGAATTTACTATAACTTCATCCATTCATCAGCTTATGTAGCACAAGTTTTCTCACAGTACTTTCTCTCCACAGTCCAGCTCCACACCACCTGGCTGAAGTGGGGCTTGTTAAATGAAAGAGAAATGGATGCCATCAGGCACCATGACAATAAACATTCATACATTCATACATGTATCATGCATATTAATGATTCAGCTTCTGCAGCGCTGTCTGTGTTGAAGACACAAGTGTTGTTTCTGGACTGGGCCCCAAATTGGTGGTATGCAGCAGGGAGGGGTTGGGCCGACAGTTGCTCCGTGTGGAGGGCACACTGACAGTGATATCAAGGACAGAGGCCACCAGTATAAAGCCTTTGTCACCCTAAAATCCCTCTTTTACCCTCAGTGTCAATAACATGCTGTAACCACTTATTTATTCTGGCTGTGGTTGAAACAAGAGCAACATTGTCCTTATAGTTTAGGGATATTTATTGGTGGTTGTTTTGTTTCTTTATACTTTAAAGTAAAGTTTGTACTCAATGATACTTTGCTCTACTTTCTGAGGCAAACATTGCGCTATTTGAAAGCTGCAATAATGTCTTTGCTGTAGTTACTATATATATATATTATGCAATAAAACCATCATTAGACAACTAATCAGGACCTATTGACATATTTAAGATATCTGTGAGTGAGCTGTTTAACCACAGCTTTACTGACACCGGTAACATTCCCAGTATATCACAAAGAGCAAAGATTATAGAAGTCCAGAAAAAGGTTTGAGAAGAGAGAAAAGAACCACTGTGAACTGTATATGAAGCAGTAGAAAATATAGCACCACCTCCATCTGTTACAGCAATAAAAGGACTAATGCAAAATTTAAAATATTTTTAAAAATAATTTATAAAGCACATTTCAAGGTGCTGCACAGCATCATTAAAAAAACAACACAGACAAAATGATAAGAAATCAATTTCTAATCAGAAAGCACAAATTAAAACTTTAATTCAATTCAATTAATTAAAAAAAAAGTCAAACAAAATATACACTAAAATCACTTTTCTGCAGAATTAGTGCTTACGGTTCCCTTAACTAGAATTAATCTGATGTAATTGTGTTTCTACATCAGTGTATTCATACAATTAGTCAAGTTAAAGATTTGAACATTTATTCCATAACTGTTTTTGAAGCATTTATGTAAAGCTTGTAGAGCATCGACCACCGAGCAAAGACAAACAGCAATAAACTAAAGGTCATGAGTCGGACCAACTGATATTGCTATCACATTAGATGACAGTACTTTAATACTAAAATACATATATTTGTGTTAAATGTGTAGTGCTGGTATCAAATCTACAAGTGAGAAGTGAGAAAACTGGAAAAACAGTGGTATTTATTTCCTCAAAATAAAGTTTTAAATATTTCTGTGCAAAATCATGACACACACACACACACACACACACACACACACACAGACTCACACACTCACACACACACACACACACACACAC